GATTTTTAAATTTGTTGGCAGGATTCGGGCAGGTTCCTCGCTCGGGCCGAGCCCGGGGGCAGCGGGCGGCAGCTGCGGCTCGCCGGGAGGAGCTTCCACACAACCGGGGGGCATTTACGCCGGGAGGGCGGGGAGGGGGGGGCACTACGGGACTTTTCTCCGCATTTGCGGTTGGCTTCGGCGGGGGTTGTTTAGGGGAGGGGCGCGGCGGAGCGCTGTGCTTACCCGGGCCGAGGTCTCCCCGAAGAGCGGCCGGTTGTCCGCGCCGCCGGTGCCGTACCCGCGGGCGGGGAACCCCTCCATGGCGCGGGGCCGCTGCGCCGCCGCCCGCGGGGGGGCGCCCGCGCATCCCGCGCCTGCCCCGCGCCCGCCCCGGCGCGCCCGCTCCGCGCCCCGCGGGCGGCGCCGCACCGGGACCCGCACCGGGACCGGCACCGACACCGAGACCGGGATCGACACCGGCACCGGCACCGACACCGACACCGACACCGACACCGACACCGGCACCGGCACCGGCCCCCCGGGACCTGCGCGGGAGCGGAGCCGCCGGCCCGGCCTGCGCGGGGAGGGGCGGGGCCAGCGCGCCGCCTCTGGCTGCGCCGATTTGTTGCTCAACAAAGTTGCGGTATTCGAGCAAATCTCATTAGGGATGGTGGTATGACAGCTTGGAGAAATTACCCTGTTTCGATTCCATTTCATTTTCCTTATGATAGGTTTTATTTTCTTATTATTTAAAAAATTTTTTTATTTTGTTTTCTTTTATTGTGTTTTACTCTCATAGAATCGTAGAAGCAGAATATCCTGAGTTGGAAGGGACCCAAAAGTAACATCAGCCCAACTCCTGGCCGTGCACAGGACACCCCACAAACTTCACCCTGTGCCCGAGAGCATTGTCCAAACCCTTCTTGAGCTCTGTCAGGTTCATTGCTGTGAGGTTCCAGTGCCCAGCCACCCTCTGGGTGTAAAACCTTTTCCTGATATCCAACCTAACCTTTATTTTATAGCTGTTGTATTTTTCTTATTTTGTAATTTATTTTATTTTACTTTATTTTACTTCAATTGGGGGGGGCGGGGCTTATTTATTTATTTATTTATTTATTTATTTATTTATAAACATCTCATCCTGCTAGAGCTGAAAAATGAACTCACCAGTGTTCTTCCTCAGTTACCCACCTAAATTAGGTAAAAGAGAGGGATTATTCCTGGAGATACGATTGGTAACAGTAAACCACTTTTACTGTATACATTCCTTAGCCAAAGTTATCCCATGTACTGTTGCTGCTGCTGCTGCTTTGGAGCTGATGATGTGTTTGCATGTGAGAAAGCCAGGGGGCATTCATTTTATTGTTATTTTATTTTTATTTATTTTAATTTTCTAACTGTCTTTTTATATACATTTCACTTAATTTTTATTTAAACTAATTTCTATTGGTTTGGGTTTGGTTTTTTTTTCCTTTTTAATTAATTTCATTTTTTCTATTTACATGACTTGGTCTCAGAAATATAGCTTTCCTTTTGGACGCCCCCCAGACCATAATGGATACAACCTTTCTCCAAGTGCATTTTAGAATGAAAATAAACCAGTTGAGATGCACTAAACGTTGTAGCTTCCGGGACAGATTGAGAGTTTTTTGTCCAAATGAGCTTTGTGTTTTCCCCCTGACCCTTCTCTCCCTGCCATGCACCTCTCCAGGGGACTTTTTGCCCTGAGAGACAAACTCCCCTAAATACCACTGGAATTTAGGAGAAATAGCATGGCCATTTCCTTCTTGCTGGATAGAAAAGATTGATAGGCCAGGTCTGTCGGTGAAAAGATCAAAAAGAAGAACACCAGCTGCAGATATGAGCTGTCAGAGCAGAGGTTCTGTTGGTGGCTCCAATTCCTGTCACCAAGGTCCTCCTGCAGGCCACTGGTCACAGCTGGGCAGAGCTCCCAGCTCTTGAGCAAGAGGTCAGTGAAATCAGCGCTTCTCTTGCGAAACATTTCTGTCATTTCAGGTCTAAGTGCTGCCCTGGGGCCGTGCTGTGCACACAGGGCTGGGAGCACTCTGGGCACTCCTTGCGACACCAAAGTGCTGCCGCTTCAAAGGTGGAAACCATCGAATTCAAGTGAGGCTGGAAATCAGCACAGCTCCCACCAGCTGGAGTGTGTCCCGAGCTGAAGTGCTGGGTGGGAAGGCACAGAGGCCTCCTGTAAGCCTCCAGCAGTGGTTCCCAGGGAAAGCAGTGGGGGAGAAGGGTCTCCAGGACTCACTGGAGAGACTCTTCATGTCCTCTCGAGCCACTTGGTGTGAAGGATGTGGCTTCCTGACACACGAGTGCTCTTGACCTACAGAACAGTTGGTTCTGTGCTCATTTTTCAGTAATTGTGTATTAATTATATTCCTGAGCAGGCTCTGGCTGTGCCCAGATTAAATACTGAGGGGGTTGTGGGGTCTGGGTGGGGCATGGCAGTGCTGGAGGGGGGTGACTGTGGGAGTGCCCTGTGTCATGTACTGCATTTATACTTGTTATAAATGGAGTTATACTTGTACTTGGAGTTATGGCTCGGTGGGACAAAGGGACGTAACCTTCTTCAACATCCACTGAATAACTGAGAACAAATGCAAAACACAGTCAACACTTGCTGAAAACCACAAATTGTTACTTGTGCATAATAATCAACTGATCAATAATCAGGGAATATTGGAAGGGGGGAGTTACTTGTTTCTGAGCCCATGCTTTGTTATAGTATCTTGTTTGTTAAGTGCTACATGTCTTCTACACTTAACCAACCTGCATCTCTCCCACCTGGACCACTCACTTGTGCATCAATGTGCTTCCTGGGTAATGTGATCACTTAGTGGACAGCAGCTCTAATTTGATGAGTGAGAGTCTGATTGAGCCACTAATCTAACAGACCAAACAAGTTCACTTCTTTCTACAATTCAAAGTAAGTGTATCAGTCTTCAGTGAAAAGTACCTATGCTTCTCAGGTCTGAAATAAAAAACAAATTGCTTTTTAATGGAGGAAGTAATATCAAAGGAAATCTTGGATGGTTTAACATTGGAAAGATTTGTACTGCTCAGGTTGGACACAACTCCCTTGGTCTTATTTAGTGTGTTTTACATTTATTACAGTTGGCTGCATCTTTTGTAGCAGTTACAAGGTTTACATGCTGAGCTTTAGCTTTCCTTCCTCAAAAATATTCCTGGCATTACTTCCTAGAAATAGATTTGGCCCATAAATTGCAGAGAGCTTTGGAGTCTCTTCAGAACATCAGCACCATAGACTATAAAAGACTATACGCTTTCTCCTGTCTAATATTTTATTTATATTAGAAGTAATAATGTGTTTTTCTCTGCACTCTGGGTGAAGGTTTAATTCAGCACATATATGAAAATTTCAATATATCCCAAGGCTAATTATATATCACTGTCACTGATGCTGCTGCCTCTGTAACTTACCAGCTGGCTGTTGGAGTCCCAGGATGGAGGCCAGTAACTCATCTGGGCAGGCAGTGCTGCCTTCAGCCCCTCACTGACCTGCTCCCTGATGCTCTGTGTGTCCTTTCTATTGATCTAATGTGCTTGGGCTTCTAGTGCATCAATTTATTCCATAACTCTTTGGTAGCAGGGGTTTTCTGCTGCCATTTATCTTAGTGTCAGCTCCAGCAAGAGCAAGCCCTGCTCTCCCGGCTCCTTCCCCGTAGCGATTTCAGCTTCCTGACACAGCCATTACTGATTACAGCCTGGTAATTGGTTTTTGCACTATTAAATCAGCCCTCAGCTCCCAGCACCATGGTCGTGGGGCTATTCTAGTTGGCACACTTTATTTTGAAAGGATAGCAGTTTCCTCAGAGCTTTCTAACAAAGCTTCCACAACACAAAACTCCTGGGGCGTGCAGGAGCTGTTTTCATCTGTGTTTTCAAGTCCAAAGGAAACCTGACTAACAAACTTGGTTTGTTAGAATAGACTTTAGTCTCATCACTATCAGCCCCCAACCTGAGGAAATACTCTGGAAGAGGAATAAATGGACATTTACAACACTGAAATCCCTCTCAGTCATCCCAGAAGTGTTGAGTTTGACTCCCTCTACAGAAAGGATCACCCAACTCTGGCAGATCATCAAGGGACAGCCAGCATGGTCCTCCCCACAGAGCAAGGGGCCTGATTTTCAGTTAATTCTGCCACGGTGAGATTGTGCATTTCTTGTCTTTGCTGGGGGCACATGTTCTGCTGAGAGGACAGGAAGTTTCTGTAGAGTGTGTAAAAGGAGAAGAGAATCCAAAACCTTTAAGTTTTGCAGTTCCCACAGTCAGTTTTACTTAGTAGCTGCCTATAAGGACCAAAAGATTTTAAAACTGGTACCAAGAGGTGTTACAGACATATTCAAACTTTAAAAGAAACAAAACCAAAACCAAACCAAACAAAAAAAACACCAAACTTAAACAATCAAACAACACCACCCCAAAACAAAACAAAACAAAACAAAACAAAACAAACAAAACCACAAAAAAAGGCAAAATCAAAATTCAGTGAAGTATTTACAGTATACCCCAGGTATAATCTAGTGATGTAGCCAAAGGTGTCTGCCTCCATGTCTCAGTTTATGGTAACTTTCCTTGAGTCTCTGCCTTACTGCTTTCAGTTTTTCCCCTAACCAAGGACGCTTTTATGTGGAGTTAATGGAGAACCTGAGTGGCACTGGGACCCATGAGGCAGGTGCCACAAAGGGAGCACAGGGCTGCTGGGGTGACACCCATTGGCACCATGGGCCTGGGGCTGGTGTGAGCAGCCCGTACCCAACAGCTCCCCAGACTTTGCTGTCACTGTCTGGGACATGGGGAGGAACATGAGCCCAACAGGAAGCGGAAAACAACAAAAATGATTTGCAGCCAGGGAGGGAGAGGTCTGGGGAAGCAGTCAGCAGAGGGAGGCACGAGCACACAGATCCTGTGCAAACCTCAGCCCTTGGTGTCCCTCCAAGCTCCAGAATGCAGGCAGAGGGCCTCAGTAGTTCTGAAAAACTATTTTATTTCACTTTTTCCACATTTATGTTTAGCTCTTGGAGATCAGATGAGAGACTGAGCAAATGAGGAAGCTGAAACATTCTCATTCAAGGATGTATTGTCTGAATTATTCATTATAATCTTCATTCTCCTGTGGATTTTTCAGCATTTGTGTTTTATGAGGAATGTGGATTCTCCCTCTTTTACATTATCTTAGTGAATTGCAGAAGCTTTCCCATCTAGTCCTTCATGCTCCAAAATCTCAGCAGAGTCAGCATTCGATTTAGAGAAAAAAAAATTCCTCAATATTTTTTATTTTTGAGAAAAAATATCTTCAAAAAGATAAACATTTCATTAATACATACATGTGTATGGATATACAATGCAAATTTCCCTCCTGGGCTTCTGATAGATGTATAAGCTGTTTACCAACTGCTCCTCTGAGCTGGTGGCAGACATTAAGTGGGGCAGCAGCTGTGGGGCTGCTTCAAATTACCCCTTTGAAGAGCAGAGGATAGAGCTCAGTGTGACACTGGTTGTTACACACCAGCTAAACAGCAAAACAGCTCTTCATCTGCTGCATCTGCAAGTGAGACATCACCCCACCAAGGGTGGCAGGAACATCACAGGGAAATCTGCATTGGTACTGATATTCAGGAATAAAAAAGCTTCTTTGAATAGCAAAAGGACACAGAGCAGCAGTACCACCTCCTGATTTTGCAGGATTTCCATCTTGTCATTTAAGCTTTCCACAGTGGGATAAGCAGAAAAGAAAATTATGCACCTATTTGTCCTTCCTTAGTATGTGCATATGCTCCCCTTTGGCACTACTACAGCCTTGAAATGCAGGGTTTTGTGATTCTCTGCAGAGAGGTGAGATGAAAAACCTTCTTTGCAAGCATGCTCTGAGAGGTCATCCCACCAGCAGCGAGGGTCTGCGTGCCTCATCCATCTTCCCAAGCCACCTCAAGGCTACCTGCCAGCCAAACACATCCAGGAGAAGGAGCTTTTCTTCCCAAAACTCGATGTTCCATTAAACAATGACTAGCCAGAGGCTGACTAAAACATCTGCCTGAAATCCAGACTGCTGCCTCTTGTGCTGAAATGTTTCCAGCTGGCACTGCCCCAACCGCAGTTTTTTTCTTCTCCATGGGCATGTGCATTTCAAAACCTGCAGTGGCTACAGCCTCTGAATTGAAAAGCAAGTCATGCAAATCCTATTTGCACCAGGGAGCTGTTATCTTACTAAAGTTTATAGATCTCACAGATTCTGAGGGCAGAGGGCTCCATCCCAAGTGAGAGGTATGAACTCTCTTCTCAGGGTCTCACACAGCACAAGTGCTGCTTACAGTCAGGTAACTCTGGGCTGAGACTGATGACAGTGTTTGGAAAGTGTGTTAGTCCTCAGACAGTAAAATAATGTCCCAGAAACAAAACCTCTGCCTGCTCTGTATCTGTCTTACATCTCTGTATCCACCTTGTCTGTATCAGACAAGATGTGTCCGATCAGTGAAGCACAGTGGAAAATATTTATTAACCTCAATTGACAGAGTCCCAGTGTAACCACTTCATTAATTTATCCCTGATTAGAGTCTGTTTATCCAGTCTAGTATTCCCTTTTAAGCACTAGTTCATGTTGACTCTCCATCAGTCCTCTGGCACCTCTTGTTTTCCAAACCTTGTTAAGATCTAAAATTAGTGAAATGAGAGTACTGAGCTACTGGTCTTAAGAATGGAAGTGTGCATGACCCCAGACTTCTGAACTTAAAGTATTTGTATTTAGAAGGTGATGTTTCACATCCTCCTCAGCTACAGATGGTAAATTATTTCATCTGGTATAGATGAATCCTACTAACTTTTTCTGATGTAGTAAAGCAGGAATTATGAACATTTGGTGTGATGTTTTTCCCATCTGATGGACATAAACGGTAAGATTGCAAATAACAGGGAAGCTATTCATAAGTTAAGATTACCAGTGATATTTTAATGTCTCCTTAGTGTCTATAATATAATTAAGTTTTGTATTTCTTCTGTTTCTGTTGCTTTACATTCTCAATAGTGTTTGCAACATGCATTCAATGGCAATGAATATCTCTTCTAAACACCTCGTCTGAACTCATCCTTCAGATCTATCTGTCTGTCATCTATCTACCTCTCTCTTCTCTGTTGAAATATTGCTCTGGTGTGACAAAATATTAATCCACTGATGTTTAAAATAAATCTCTGTAGTTGCAAGTGTAGTAGTCTTTCTCATTTGCTGTAACCAAAGTTGTGAGTGACAGGCTATCAAAGAGATAGTTCATGTTTTTAATTAGCATCTCCTCCAAATAGTGATCTTTCAGCTCTGGTACACAGACCTCCTCCTTTTTGAATGGTCCAGTGGAGGAAAATAGGGTCCTTCTGAACAAGATGGGCATTTTAGGAGGTTAGGATAGGAGTTTAGGATAGGAATTGTCAGGTTGTAACCACCATAGGGCAAGAGCTCCAGTGTCTGTAGCTTCAGGAAACCAGAGCCACGGAAGGAAGCTGATCTGCAGGGACACCAGGCTCTTTGCTCCAGAACACTGCCCAACACATCCCTGTGTCGCATGTGCCTGGCTCCAGCCCATCTCTCCAGGCACAGCATCCTAGCACTTATCTCCTCGCACTCACAGCCCACCTGCTGGCTCCTCCTCGCTCACATCCCAGCCCTGGCTGGAACATCATGTACTTGGCATGAGGATGCTCCCAGGACGGCACAGCAGACATCCTCCAGACACCCCGGGCAAACATGAAGAGCCTGCCATAGATCCAGTCCCCCTGCTCTTTGCTCCATCCCCCAAGCAGCTGGCAGCATTTTATCCACCCGAGCAGGATAGCTCCCCCTTGGATGAGGTATTTGGGTACTCCTGCCAAGGCAGGAGGAACATCTGCAGTGAGGAGCTGGGACCACATCCTACCTCCCCAACCAGCAAGAGCTGCCAGGAGGGGAGGAGGTTTCAGTAAGTACGAGATTGCTGGCAAAATGCTGATGCATCTGCGTGCTTGATTCTTTAACCTGCTCATCCTTCCCTGAACCCTTTCCTTTCTTCCCTCCCTTCCCCCTCCTCCTTCTGTTTCTAGGCATTCCCTTCTCTGTATCCCTTCCCCAGAGCCGCCTGCCAGGCCACGCGCAGCAGCGGCAGCACCGCGGGGCTCCGGTGCGTAGGTGCCTCTACACCATCCCTCAGAGGCGGCCCAGCGCCTGCCTCGGGAGCCTGTGAAACTGGAGAGCATCTGCTCCCGTAAATGGTTTGGTTATTCCGTATCTTAGAAATAACAAATAACGAGGAAAACAGTGATTTAAACACATAACCATTGATGAGCAGGTGATTAGAGAGACAATAAGGGAAGGCAGAGCTTGCCAGGCACTGACTGATGAGCCATTAAAGGAGATACTCTGGATTTGGAGAGGATCTGCCTCAATATTGCAACTGATAAGATCAAGAAAACATGGTTAGTGTGAAATTAGAGGTGCATTTGAGGGAGCTTGGGAGACTGAACCAAACTTACTACAGGATGTTTACAGAAATGGCCGAAGACACAGGAAGGGAAGGATCAGGGTGGAACAAGCACGGGAAGATGACAAGGAAGGAGGCTGGAGGGATCAGACATGACAGCAAGTGTTTGGGCAGGACAATCACCTGGCTGGGCCCTGGCCCTGATCCATGCAGTCTGGCCTGCCTTCTTATTAAATCCCATCCTTAATTACCTTTGCTGTGTGCCAGCCTCTGGAAAAGACTTAAAGTCTGAGCCAGGGCTGGTTGACGGAGCCAGGATAGAGGACACTGGACAGGCTTTTCAAGGGATCCATGAGTGAGGAGAGCCTGTCAAGGAAGAAAATATGGAAGAGTATTGATGGGAAAAAAGAGCCACAAAAGCAACAAGCAGCAAAAATACTCTATCTCAACACTCAGAAATGTAAATACACTGGAAGAACAAAACATCCATAAAAATCATTATGTTTGTTCAAAGTTACATTGCAGTACTTTTTTGGGTGCCACACTGGAACTCTGCTGTCAGTAGACATTCCCCAGTCACCATCCCAAATGCTGTTTGTGAGGATGCTGTGCTTCAGACTTGAATTAAATGTAAAGTCTCAATTGCAACAAGAAAGAAATTGTGGTGTTTTTTAAATAATTACAGCTGCTAAGAGGTGTTCAGCACAGGCAGGCTGCTGAGAAAGCAGATCCAAGGAATAAGATAAACTCAGTAAAACTGGAGTACCAGGAGAGAACCTGCAAGGAGCGTAGGGAAACTCCATTCCAGCTGCTTTCAGGCAGCCTTCATTTGTATCAACAATGTGAGGAAAAGCAGCACCAACAGCTCCCAAGTTAGAAAGGTGTTTTTAATGAGTTTGGGGCCAAACATTTTCAATACTTTGAAACAAGGGAACCATGTTTGAAAACCAAAAGGTTGAGGTTCAACTGCCTTCAGAGGTGGAAAAACAACTGTCCATTCAGGTGCCTAAGTGAAAAATCAAAACACTTCTACCATCCATGTGGAGCTTTGAGCTGCTGTGATTGCAAAGCAAGCAAACAACCATGGTATCGCTGTCAGAAAGCACTGTTCCATAATGGATTCCAGTAAAGCCTGAAAAAGAGAGCACAGCAGCCTGGAACACCCCAGGTTGCACTCTTGTCATTTCATGTGTAGCAGTCAAACACAAAGTCTGAAAAGTAGGTCTTGGAACTTGGTTTTCCCAGGCACAGAAAGGATTTATTCTTCTTGTACAAAGCTATGAATGGAATTAGAATTAGACCAAGTAGCTCAGGCTTAGGCAGCTGCAAGCTAACAGAAAGCCTTGCCACCAGCCATTCCTTGAGCTGCTGTAAATGGCCATTGAGAGCAGTACAGTATGCCCTGATAAGAGAAATACCAACAGATAAGTACCTGGGAAAGTATTTTTTATATAATTACTTTTTACTAAGATTCAAATAATAAAAATAGCACATATTTTCATCTCTATGCAATAAAATTTGAGATATGTGCTTTAGCTCTTCAACATTCAGTAAGGGTTTGTATAATGATGTTCAGAAATTATTTATGTTGATAAGTACTGTTGTGTCACCCTTAAATGAAGCACAGCTTCCCCAGATCACTTATTTCTGATACTCCTTTATAACTAAGCTTAAAAGACAAGTGACCTCGCAGTTCTCCACCTGCTTAAAACTGAGGTAGGGATATTTCAACTAAGAAATATTTCAGATATTTCTCTTATCAGATATATCAGATAAGAGAAAACACTGAGTTCTTTTGACAGCTCTTCTGAGTGAAAGATACATCCAGCACACAGGCAGCACAGGAAACCTTGTTGGTACTCAAGTATCACATTCATGCTCAGCCAGCACAGCTAAATGCCAAAGCCTGATCTGGAGGAACTTTGGCAGGCCGGAGGAGTGGTCACATTATCTTAAGTTTAGCACAAACTGGATGTCAAAGAACAATTATCATTGAAACCAACACTGCCAGTACAAAACCTGCTGTTTTGCTAATGAACTGAGAGAACTCCCAAATTCACCAGTCCTGACAAAGGCCATCTCTGTAAACTGGTCTTACTAATTACAAGGCTTGTCTTTCTCTTTCATCCCGTGAATCTTTTAAATATCACAGTGACATTCAATCTTTTTTTACATTGACAATGCTGAAAAATGTAAGTAATATCTAGGTAACGCACTTCTGTAAGTGGGAAGGATCTGTCAAGTCACAGAAGGTGGAACATGAATTCCCATGCTATTTGTTTGAAGTGAAATATCCATGGGCTGCATGAAATGCGTACTCATGGTTTCAAAATACAGACAAAAACACCCAGCAATATTGCAAAAATATTGAGGAGTAGTCAGGTAAAATGAGGGAATGCCAGAATAATCTCTTATGTGTTTCAACTTTTAAAAATCTTTATTGAGGAAAAAAAATCACATTAAATCTTACAAAGTTACCTGCAGTTTTAATTCCTGTTCTCGAATGCCCAACTATGTCTTTTTTATAGACTGAGAAAATGGCTGTACCAAATGTTCTCACTTCTTCTGTGTGTGCTGATAGCAATAGTTTCTGACAATAAATTTGAGCTGGCTATACACCACATCTATTTTTTGTGAAATTCTTTAAAGACTGTTTTCATGTCCACTGGAATATTTTGTTTTTAGGAATCTATAAAGTTAACAAAGTGAGATCCACTAAACCAAGATGGGTTATCTCATAACTGCTCTGTTCCCACTATTTAACTGTAAAGTATGCAAAAAGTCATGGTTTTAAAAAGTACATCCAGAGCACTCCAAGCATAAAAGAAATCATAATGAAAGACTGAAGTGGCATTAATTGTAACAATGCTTTATTTCTCTACATTGCAGTATCTCTCTATATGCCATTAAAACCTTCTGGGAATATAAGTTTCATAGTTGCTTCAGAGTGAATGACTGAAATGATCTTTCAGTCATTTCTCTTAACACAGCTTACACAAATTTAAGCTAAAACTTTCCAAGTAGTCTAAATAAGATGAGGAGATCATTACCAGTCATTGTCAATGAGGTCTTTTAAATAGTGCATTCACACTACTTATTTTGACTAGGAGCTCTAAGTCCTCTATTTCTCATCTTGAGTCTGCTTCCATCTTAGGCTCAAATAAATGAAGAATATCCATAAGATAGGTGGTCAAATGTACATTGCTAAGTCATGCCTAAAACTAAGTTTAGATACCCTTGGTCAACAGTATAGAGATAGGAAATATTAATAACAAATTTTTTTGTAACTACCATAAACACATCTACTGGTTTACATAACAGTCTGTTCTACCAGTCAATTATCAAGAGCTTTGGCATCTCAAAGTATTTTAATTAAATCCCCTCATGAGTGAAGGTAACTACAGTTCCTCATCCTCATTGAGTGTTTCAGCACCCCAGGTATGGGCAGCTGCTTCAGAGCTGATGTCACAGCAGCACATTAAAATGTTACATAGCTGCACTTAAAATAAATTAATTGTGCTCACAAGAGCTTCTCTCTATTCAGAACAAAGGCTGTCCAAATGACAGGATCAGGTGTGGATGTTGATAATGCGACATTTGAAGTTAGATGAGATGAATTCTGTCCAGAAATCCCACATATCATCTGCATATGTCACTTTCCCCTAAATATTACTGAGCGTGGATTTCATGTTCTCCCTGTAGTTTTATAATCCATGTTCCAAACACCCTGGATTGAATCCACATTCCACCCCTGCAAGAAGGTATATTCTACTAAGTCAAATAATACTTCCTCTTTGAGTAATTAATACTGGCACCTGACAAAAATACTTTGGGGATAGACAGAAAGACATTTTTCTGTTGTGACTTTTTCTATCACAATAACCAGCCTTCATATCTGCAGCTCAGCATTGGCTATTGTTACTTGATTGTTCAGCATCCTTCATTTAAATTCTTTGCTTGTTTTTCTTGCTCTGCTCTAAGGAAATGTTAGTCAGTGCTCTGGTCTCACTTTGGCCCTTTGGAGTCTCATAAACCTTAGCTACCCCAAGAGACTGTGGCTGACATTAACCAGTGTCAACTAGATTATATTGTTTGGAATAAAGATTGATGCTTGTATTTACAATCGATGTTATACAGTTAACTGAAATATATGATGCCCATTTACCAGATTTTTAGCTTTATGTCAAAGCATGTGTAACCAGGAAAATGAGGAATAATAAGACTTTTAGTTACAGGACGGAAAAAGTGAAGTTTCTATGTCTATAGTTCAGGCTTCTCTACATTTCCAGCACTTCCCTTTCTATCTAAGCATGACATGGATACTTAAAGTAAACCAGATTACACATTCATTTACTTACAGGTCTTAAGAAACAATTTATAAAAACAAACCAACCAGAACACTAACAACACTAATATACATAAACTTTCACTTTACAGACATCTTTGTCTTCACATTCTCTTTGCCTATTGTAATAATAGAATGTATTGTCCCTTCTCTGGAGTTTCTTAACAAATCCAGTTTCTGGCCAGCACTCTACCTACAAGTAGAACAAAAAGGATATAAAAATCACCTGAACATGTTCACATTAAATGATGTTTGTGCATGACATTGCAAGGAATATAGGGTATACTTTCATAGGAAACCCTCAGTTGCATCTGAATACTATTTTTCTATTAACTTGATGAACTTTTAAAAACAGATTGAGAACAAGATGACAGAAACCAGTTTTCAGGTTTAGTCTAAAGTTATGTGATCTGAAAAGCCTAGAAATAGGAATCTAGGGATATTTAACAAGCTAATTTAATAATTTAAAATTGGACAAGTCAAATATTTTAAAACATCTTGTTTAGGAATATAACATTGATGCTATTCAGTTATTCAGCAATCTGAGAGGCTGCAAGTGTCTGCTCCTGTAAGACTGACATATATTTAAAGGTTTCTTTCAGATCCTTCTGACAATGAAAAATGTGCTTTTCATTAGTAAGTTAATTAAAATAAAGTAAGCCTCAGACCGTATCAGTTTCAAAGAAAATACATCAGTCCCACATAAACGCAGCATCACCCTGGTGCTCTTCATTGTTTCACAGTGTAAACCTTTAAATTAATGGCTTCAGCATTTGCACATTCAGCAGCTTCATGGCTTTAGTAGCTCTTTCAGGCTGAGCATCTATGACTGCTTCTGATTAAACTAAACCTTAAAAATCAGGTAATAAGCATCTTATTTCTCTTCCAGGCAGAGTTACAACAGGATGTCAAACTAGAGCATTCTCTAATTGGAGAGCCCACTTCATCACTTACCTTATGACTTCAGGCATACAGCTGTGTTTTTTGCATTGTCTGTCTAAACATAACAGCCTTGATATTAATTCCACCTACATTATAATTGCATCTTTAGTAACAACTGCATTATAGAAACCCAATATGGACTTAACAAGACATTTCAGAATATGTAAGTTGAACGAGAATCACTGCCAGGCCTTGGCATGCTGGAACTGAATGCACACTCACATTACAGTTAGTCAGTGGCATTCTTTAGCTTTCATCAGGGTTTAACTGCCAGTGATTGTGCCCTGCCATAAATCTTGAGCACACAGATCCTACTACAATAATGACGTGATTTCCTTCTGCAGTTACTGAAAAATATATAATATTTTATATATATAGATATAAATATATATATATTATATGGTATATTATATATATATTACGTACCATATTTTATAGATAAATGTATAAAAATATATAGCCTTTGCAGTGGTATCAGAGTCCACAATAAAATAGTAAACTATCTTATTATGCACATCAATGTGTTTTGCTGTGTTTTGAGTTAACTGGATGGGGGGTGAGTTTCTTGGAACTTCCTGCTCTTTCTTATGTGCACAGGAGGTCAACACATTTTAAAAGTGTGTTCTTCATAATATATTTGTTGCTTTGGAAGATAAATTACAGAGCTGTAATTAAAAAAAAAAAAAGATATACTGTTTGTTGTACTAATCTGTTGGTGGCTATTTTGAACCTTGAGTAGCCACTGGATATTTGTTCACTACTCAGTATCTCATTTGATGTGCTGGGGAGCATCACTAACAACTGCAGTGAGCAGAGGCACGAGTCCCTGGTGTTGACAAGAGCCTGTGTCACAACTGCCTTTAGTACAGTTCAAATATTGCCACTGTGGACATCATTTTGAGAGAGGCCGAGCTCTGAGTGTGCACAAAGCCTGACTGTGCTACCACACAACCCAAGTGCAAACTGAAGCAGTAGCAATGACACAGGATTGACTCCATGGACAATCAACCAGTTTCCTATCAAGTCTATTGACAGACTAACAGGGAAGCTTCAGAGAACTCACTTTGAAATATTTCTTTCCTGAACTCTGAATTATTCCTTTGGAGATCAGCTATATCTGTTCAAACAGATTTGTGATGCTTCTAAATGCATCAGAGATGGGGAATAAAACATGGGCTAGGTAGTATTTCTGCTTCACTTCTGTGAAGTGAGTTATTCTCCCGGGTTAACAACAGCTCAAGAATTCATGTCAGAACTATGAGGAAACCCACTGTATCAGAACCTAGCCTAAATGTAAGGAAATAAGCAGCACCTCCATTTTTATTTAATCATTTTACATGAGACAGAAGTTTAAAGTAGCAACTCTTACAATACAAAGTTCTAAATCTTACCTTATCAACTTGTTTTACTTGTTTATATTCCACCTCATCTCTGTATCCAGCTTGCTGGAATCTGTATAAGTTCTCTACATCATTTGACCATATTTTGGCACGATGCATTGATTTTGGTTTGATGTCAACTTTAGTTATGACTTCAGAAACTTCAGACATCTTCCTGAAATTAGACTTAAAAAAATTAGAGAAGTCAGAAGCAAGTGATTTTGTTGGGGACATAGAGTAATGGATAGAACAAAATTTTAAAACAAAGGAATTACAGGAATTCAAAGTCTGAGGTTAAAAAAGGAAAAAGTTATAAGCAGTTGGAATCAAATTAAATGCACTACTTGATGTCAAACAAACCCAACTCATCTTACTTCCATTACATCTTGACTCAGCCTTTCTAAAATTTAACTGTGCATATTGATGAATTAAAAAAAATACTAAATGCAGTATTTCTGAATTTCACATATTTGCAGTTGCTGTCCCCCTGGGGTAGGCAGGCAGATTTCCAGATTTTTCTTTCTTGCTCCTGAAGTGACACCAAACTGGGAACCTCAGAATGAAGATCTGGGCTGTTACTGAAGAACAGCAAACACTCAGGATGGGAGAGGAGGGGAAAGGAAAAATGCACAGTCAGTGACATGGCCATAGTGCCAGTGACAGAGGTAAGGTCTTGAGAGATAAACTGGATAAGGAGACAAGGCACAACCTGCCAGAATTCACCCTTTTCTAGCTTTGCCCAAGCAAATGGACTGCCACTGACTTCCTCCTCACACAAAACCCATTTGTTCCGTCTGCTGAGACATAGCAAACAGGTTAATCAGCTGCTAAATCTGAAAAGAGCAGAGCTGAGACAAGCTGAAACTCAGACTGAAAAGAAAATTAATTAATTAGATAAATGAAAAAAAAAAGAAAACTAAAAACAAGAGCAACAAAAAAAGCAATAAAAAAATTGCAGACAGTGGATACTCACAAGGGATGGATTTGAACTACATTAGAAAATAATTTGACTTCTGAATTTCATTGCATTTGCTTTCCTAAGCATATCTTATTTTGCTGCTCAAATAGAACTTTTGTTTCTTCCACAAGCAAAACACACCCATCACTATCATGCCTAGCAGGTATGATCAGAGATGAGTCCTTTCCCAGTTTTGAAATGTCACCAAGCTTCAGCTTCATAACTAGGAAAGTAACTCCAAGGAATGAAAACTTCTGGATATTGCAATGAGAGGATGAATACAGTCTCCTTCCCTGTGGGTGCCATGCTGTCTCCAAACCTTGCCCAATTTCTTTACTTGGCAAGTCCCTATATCAACAGAGAGCTGGAAAAGTTGAATGCTGAAAATGACACTATTCTTTTAGAAAAGCAGAAATTGGAAAAAAGTCTTGCACAACTGGATAAAAATATTTGGGGAAATTATATCAAGAATTATTATTATCACAATGTAGAATTAGCAGAAAGAAATCTGCACATGTATCACCTATTTGTATGAGAGCCAGCAGGAAGACAAAGAAAGGGCCTTTAATCTCTTATTTAATGCATTTATTAGAGACCAATAAAAATATGTAAAAGGGCATTTTTCTGGCAACTAAACCATTTCTGGCAGTTCAGTACTTCAAGCATTCTTTTACCAGGCCCTGCAGCATTTTGCAATCGAAAGCAGCCATTCACTAAACTAAAAAGTAATTTTCACACCTGGTTATGAGGTATCAAACACAAATAAACAGGATAAGCACAGATCCCTATTCTAAATTTAGGGTAGTATTAGGGTAAGTTTTTTTCTCCTGTGCGACATAGGGTTCTTTTGTAGCCATCACAGGATTTTTCAAGCTCTGTATTTTTTCAACAGTGTTTGATGAGAACTGTTGTCAGTCAGTATTGACTTTAGACAGTCAATATGATTAGCAATAATATTAGATCCTAATAAATGCTAATCTATAATGAAATTACGTGTCTTGTGATAACTTACATGTCATTAGTGTTCAAGTACTTCTTTACTGGATGTGCTGGATTCACCTAATGAATGTTTATCTTCGAGACGTGTGGGTAGGTCTGGCACGTCTTGAGTCACTGTTAATTCACAGAGCCTGTCCACAGGCGTTCCTGCCCAAAAAAATAAAGATTATATATTGAAAGTTCCAGCTTAGTGACTTCATATAATGAAAGCATCCCATTTTGGGGCTGCTATTTAAAAATTGTACTCTTTGTCTATTGTGTGTCCGAGTTCTAGGCACAGAGCTGTTTTCATTGTACCAGAGCAGGGCACAGCTGTACTCCAGCCAGGAATTCAGGGAAGAGATGAAAGACAACAGACAGACAAAGGCAAAAAAATAAGACAAGAGAATGGTAAGAAAATATTCAGTTTAATATTAACACTTTTCATTGAAGGGGAATTTTTGAACAGTGAAGTGGACTTTGCTAAGCTGACAATGTTTGCCAGCTCCTAATTTAGGGTAAACAGCGAGTGCTTTGGCATTGGGAACAGATTTTTTAAGTTAATGATAACACAATTACTGTGGAATCCCAACTAGCCTGGGCTCACTGATGGTGGTTTCCTGAACAGTTACACAAACTGTAAGGGTTTGTGGGAGGAGAGTTAGGGCATCTGCTCCCTTAGGGCATCTGCTCAAGGACCATTTTCACTGCAACACGGGGTTACAGGAAAGGGAGAAAGACATAAAGCAATATACAGGGACTCAAACCTGAGCAGCAAATGAGGAAAGTGATGATGAGAACCTCACCTGTGGCATGTGAAGAGTGTGAGAATGTTTATTCCAGCAAGGTTATCTGATCAGGGACCTTGTCAGTTGGGAAATTTGGGAAAAAGGGGGAAACAAACAAAATATGCAGAGACAGGGACCTGACAAAACAAACACTGATAAAGAAACCTCAACTCCAGCACTAATAGATGGGCTATTAAGAAAGTACAGGAATGACATCCAGGGAGACCAACCTGGACCTTGCACTGGTGAGACTTAACCAAGGGGCCCAGACTTGGAGAGGTGTGGGAATCCATGGAACTGTACAGATCTGTGAGGAATGTGCAGAAGCAGTGAGAAACAAAGATGAGAATAGACAGAAAGGAGTATAAAATAAGCCTGTCCTGTGTAAAACAGGACCAGTCAGTATTACATGCCCAGCTAAGCCTCACACCTGATCATCACAAACTGTCCTACCCTATTGTATCTTCTTAAATCTTTACTGTCTCTCTGCACAAACTGTGTATTCCCCATGTGTGTGTGCTGCAAGGATAAAGTGCCAACTCCTGGTGAGACCTGTGTTAGAGTGAACACTGGTGCCAACTCTGGGAGTCAGGCTGGGGTATGAGCACCTCTGGCCTATGATATCTGGAGCCAGGGGGAATACTACATTTCCAGCCAGTGGAGCAGTAACAGAATGTGTCCTGAAAAATTAGCTACTGGGGGAGGCTGTCATGAGTGGGTGTCAGCAGGTTGGAGCAGGACTGTGGGTCACAGCCTGGTGTGCCTGGTGCTGGGGAGGAGTGGTGTCTGTGCCTTCACCCATTGTGGCATACCTAGGGTGCACACCATATTCACCAGCAAATATCAAGCAGGACAGGGGGCCCAGCTGCATCCTGAGCGGGACAAGGAGCCCCATGTCCCCAGGCAGGAGAGGCCCTGGGGCACAGCAGTGGGAGGAGATGGCGGTACCGCCTACATCACTTAACCCGAGACAGCAAACACAGGATTTGCTTGGGGTCTCAGAAGAGCCAGTAAGAGATTTCATAGGATGTCAAGGGGTTGGAAATACCCTTAAAGATCATCTCGTTCCGACCCCCTGCCACGAGCAGGAACACCTTCCATTAGATCAGGTTGGTCAAAGCCCCATCCAACCTGGCCTTGAACTGGTCCAGAGCTGGGGCACCACAACCTCACCGGGCAACCTGTCCCAGTGCCTCACAGCCCACACTGTAAAAAAATTCTTCCTAATATCTAATCTAAGATCCTCTCTTTCTTGTAGCTTCTACCTACTCTACCCGACGTTCCGAGGTGCTCAGGCAGACGTCCCGGCTTGCATCCGTAAATGCGACCCTGCTCCCACCGCCCTGGCCACAACCCGCCCACCGAGCCTTTAAGGCGGCCCACCTCGGTTCAGGAGACGCAAAACGGGGACAGTTCTCACGCGGGGCGGAGCGGCGGCCGAGGCCCCCTCAGGGCCGCTTTCCGCCCCTCACGGCCGCCTCCCGCCCCTCAGGGCCGCTATCTGCCCCTCAGGGCCGCTTTTCGCCCCTCACGGCGCCAACGGTCACCAGGCAACGGCCGACGCGGCCCCTTTAAAGGCCGCGCCTGCCCCGGATAGGCCGGCGCGGGGGCGGGGCCGGCTCGGGATTGGCTGGAGGGGCCGGGGCCGCGTCGGGATTGGCTGTGGGGGTCGGGCGGGCGGAAGCGCGCGCCGCCCGCCATGAGCCGGTTCGGGGGCCGCACGCGCGAGTACCCGGCCGCGTCCATCGACCGCTTCGACCATGACAACCTGCGCGCGCGCGCCTTCTTCCTGTCGCACTGCCACAAGGGTGAGCGCCCGCCGGGGTCACTCACCCCCCGCGTGTCCCTCCTCACCCCCCGCGTGTCCCTCTTCACCCCCCGCGTGTCCCTCCTCACCCTCCGCGTGTCCCTCCTCACCCGCCGCGTGTCCCTCCTCATCCCCCGCGTGTCCCTCCTCACCCCCCGCGTGTCCCTCCTCACCCCCCGCGTGTCCCTCCTCACCCCCCGCGTGTCCCTCCTCACCCCCCGCGTGTCCCTCCTCATCCCCCGCGTGTCCCTCTTCACCCCCCGCGTGTCCCTCTTCACCCCCCGCGTGTCCCTCCTCACCCGCCGCGTGTCCCTCCTCACCCGCCGCGTGTCCCTCCTCACCCCCCGCGTGTCCCTCCTCATCCCCCGCGTGTCCCTCCTCACCCCCGCGTGTCCCTCCTCACCCGCCGTGTGTCCCTCCTCACCCCCGCGTGTCCCTCCCGTCCCCCGGCTGACCCGTGCCTCTCTCCCCAGATCACATGGTGGGGCTGCGGGCCACCGCCCTGAAGAGGAGGCTGGAGGGCAGGTACGGGCTTGGTGGCGCGGTGGCCTCGGCTAAACAGCTCGAGGAACTGCCATGGGTCATAAATCCCAGGATGGGAACGGGACAGGGACACATCCCATAAGACCAGGTTGCTCCTACCTGGCCTCGAACTCTTCCTCACCCCCCGCGTGTGAAAAACGCTAATCACTCGTTTTTTAAAATAATAATAATAAAATGGCTATAAAAATAATAATACAATTACAGTAATAAAGTTTAGAGTTAGGACAATTACAGGACAATAAAAAGCAAAGAATTATGGACGTCCGGATGCTCTCGGACACTAAGTCGCGAAAAGCATACCTTGTGAACAAAGGAATCACTCTTAAAACAATACACTTGTTGCATATTTATATATCCTTCATGGTTATGCATACATTTTATTTTAAACTTTATTTATTTATTTATTTATTTATATAAAGAAACTCTCTCTGTTTTATGTTAACTGTTTTCTTTAATCTCTGTGGCATCTTCGAGTCTGAGCAAGGCTTGAAGAAATTAGTTTCTTCTGATAAGAAGCCATAAATTCCTCTCCTTTGGAATATTTAGGTGTTCCCCAAAGCGAGTATCTCATTCCTAAAAAAAACCTCCCCCCACATACATAGTGTTTATTTTAACATTATGTTGGAACCTAAAACTGTATTTAACACACTACGTAAGAGAATTAATACAGCGTAGCTTTCTAACATTACACATATAATATTCATTGTAGTATTTGCGAAAAGCCAATCACCAAATATACATTTCTCACACAGGGATGGGGCATCCACAACTTCTCTGGGCAACTTGTTTCAGTGCCTCACCACCCTCACTCATTGTAAAAAACTTCTTCCTCGTATCTCATCTAGACCTGCCCCCTTTCAATTTCAAGTCATCTCCTCTTGTCCACACCATGTCCTCGTAGAAATCCCTCTCTATAATTCTTAAAACCCCCCTTTAAATGTCAAATGGTACCAGTAATGTCCCCCTAGAATTTTCTCTTCTCTAGGCTGAAAATCCCCAGCTATCTTAGCCTTGCCTTCACAGGAGAGGTGCTCCAGCCCTCTGAGCATCTTTGTGGCCTCCTCTGGACCTGCTCCAGCAGGTTGCTGTCCTTCTGTGCTGGGGACCCCGGAGCTGGATGCAGCAGTGCAGCTCACGGGAGTGGAGCAGAGGGGCACGGTCCCCTGCCTTGTCCTGCTGCCCACAGTGCTGAGCACGCAGCCCAGGATGAGATTGGCTTTCTGGGCTGCAAATGCACACTGCTGGCTCATGTCCAGCCTCTCATCCACCATTACCTGAAGTCTTCTGCAGGGCTGCTTTTAACCCATTTATCCCTCAGTCTGTTTTGATACCAGGGGTTGCCCAGATTCAGGTACACTCGGCTTCGTTGAACTCTGTGACATTTGTGAGCTTCATGAGGATCTCTCTGTTATTCCCAGAAGTATTGGTACACAGAGACAGTGCTGTGCATGTGCAGTGAAGGGGCCAGCTGTGCTCTCTGAGCTGTATAAGCAAGCAGGTAGCCAGCAGTTTGAGGGAGACATTTATTCCCCTCTGGCCAGCATCTGTGAGACTTTTCTGGGGTACTGTGTCCAGCCCTGGGTCCCCAGGATCATAAATTGATGTTTTTGTCAGCATCACCACACTGGTCTGGGGCCAGGGCCATGTGATGTGTGAGAAGCTGAGAGAGCTGGATGTCTTCAGCCTTAGGAGACAATCATACATCACTGTTTGCAGGTAGGGGTAGAGGAGATGGAGCCAGACTTTTCATGGAAGTGCATAAAGAAAGGGCAAGGGACACCTTTTACACCATAAGGATGATCAAATGAGGCAACGGGCCCAGGGAGGTTGTGGACCAGTTCCTAGGCTCTCTTTGATTTATTAGAGTAGATGTTGCATCTCCTCTGATGCAAGCAGAGAATCTCTCTTTGCTCATGAGGTCTCTCTGCATCAGCTCAGTCATAAGGAATATTCTGTGTTCTGTGTGCTGACTGTCCCAAATGCCTTTTGCAGGGGTGGAGAAACGAGCAGATAGGTCATGACCATGTACCACACGCTGCATTTGTGTCTGCACAAAACCATGCAGGCAGGGGCACACAGGGGTAGGTTTGGGTTTGCTGTGCTGAAGAGAAGCCTGCAGGCTTCCAGCTCTGCAGGTCTCCTCACATGAGAGGTTTCTGAGTGCAGGGTTTGATGTACTGGGTGCCAGGTGCTGATGTGTCGTTAGATTTTTCCTCATGTCTGCTTTAAAAAACACTTATCTGTGGTTTTTGTCTCCTCACAGCTTGAAAGTTAAACTATACTGCTCGCCTGTAACTAAGGAATTGTTGTTGACTAACTGGAAATACAAGTTTTGGGAGAATCATATTGTGAGTTTGTGTTTATTTTGAAAATAGCACTTTCAAAGCAGTGATTCTCAGAAAGAAGCAGCTCTCTGCTCCTCAGGAGTGTCTAAATATTGGTGTTGATATAGTGTTTCAGGGCTTGAGCACTTCCAACAATGTGCCTTTCCTGCTGCTTGCCATGTGCCATTGGTTATTGCTGTTTGTTTAATTATTTCCCCCCCCCCCCAAATTTTTTCCTTTTCTCTCAACTTCATCATTACATGGCCTTTATCCTTACATTGATCATTTGTACATTTGAATTTATATTCATTTCCTTACCTTCCTCACGTCTCTTTGCTTCCATCCTTCATTTCTCTTTCGCTTCATTTAAAGTCTCTTATTGCTTGGAGTGTATATAATCTGAAGTTATATGATTTTCCTTTTGCTTTTTGGAAAATGGACTATAACATGAAGAAGTTTTAGTATAAAATCACTGAAAAACTTAATAAATTTACTTGATTTCCAGTGTTTGGAGCCAGACTGCAAGGGATCAGTATTATGTACAGGTGTGAATTGAAGTTACTTCCTCCCCTTTGCAGATGCAGGCATTATGAAACAGAACATGAGGGTTTTTTTGCATAAATAAAAATAATTATATAACAATTATTTTATATATAAAATATTATATATTATAATAATATAATTATTATTAATTATAAAACAGAGCATGAGTTTTTTTACAGAAATAAAAGTAATTATCTCTGCACAAATACAGGAATATGTGGTCCCAGTGATTTGTAGGCTCTGCTTCTGGTAATAGGGGGCAGTGGGAAGTATTGCAGCACAGAGCTGTCCTAGCAAGATCCACTGCTGAGGGACTGGGATTTTGGGCTTTGCAGTCATCCAAAAATAAGGCATGTGATCCATCCAGAGGAACAAGACCTGTTGCTGATAGAAGTCCAACACTCTCTAACTCTTTTAGGCATGCATACCTTGGCTGAGGTATCTCCATTTAATTTTTAGATAACTTAAAGGCAAATTTATTCCACTGGAAATGGGTATTTATGACTTACTATTGGAAAATGAGTTTAATTTTACAGGGTTAGCATTAGCCAGAGTGAGTGGTACAGGTGTCTACATAATAAATACCTAGACAGAAACATGAAATATAATGTTCAGTATATCCTATAATGCAATTAATCATTTTGTTACAGGTTGCATTGGAAGTTGAAACACCAACTCAGATTTCTTTAGAAGATGAAACATCTGGTGAGGTAAGTTACAGGAATGTAACTTACAGGAAAGTATGTCAGTCCTGGGCAGTAATGCTGTTTGTATGAGTAAAGGAAACACAGCTGCAGCATCCAAAGTGCACAAGCTATTTTTAAAATGTATGTGGCCCCCCCCCCCTCCTGTAGTGCCAGAAAAATGGGTGGTAGTTCTAAACTAAAAAAGGCTCGATTCAGACTAGATGTAAGGAAGAAGCATTTTACAATGCGGATGGTGAAACACTGGAACAGGTTGCTCAGAGAGGTGGTGGATGCCCCATCCCTGGAAACATTCAAGGTCAGGATGAGGCTCTGAGCAGTCTGATCTAGCTGAAGATGTCCTTGTTTATTGCAGGGGAGTTGGACTGGATGAACTTTAAAGGTCCCTTCCAACTCAAACTACTCTATACTTGCTCACCAGGAAGCAGAACTGTCTTCTGTCCAACTTGCTTTATTAGCACCACACAATACTTGGTTTTCTCGTCTGCCACGACAGGCTGGTGACTGCAGTGTGAAGAGACTCTCTGGTTTTAAAAGCAATGCTAAATGCTGCAGGAGGCTGTGGGGAGCAATGCATTGTTCTCACCATGC